TCAGCTATGATCCATCCCAGCCCCATTCCGGAGGTGATGAACAAAATCCCGAAGATAATTAACACACCACGACACCTAACAGCGGCCACCTCGGCCGGAAGAACCCCCTTGATCAGATGTCGTCTTTTTTTCTTTCATAACAGGTTCAGTTGGGGTCGCGTTAAGCAAATCTCCTCGGGCGCGAGCCAGGGAGGTGCGTGAAGTTCTGGACGAAGCCATCAGCGCTGCAGCCCGATCGCGAAGAACTTTCTCTCGGTCGGCGAGCTCCTTGGCGGACTCTGCCCGTGCCTCCTCCAATAGCTGCTCCAACATGCGATGCACTCCAGCCTGCGAGGGTTCATCGAGTGGTCCGTTACAAGTTCTGTCGCAAGCATCCTCTTCACAGGAGCCAGAGTCGTCTGAAATGACGCAGGGATCCGCGGCCGTGAATGTCGAAGAAGCGGCGACGGGTAAGCGTCGACGGGGTAGCTTAGGCGACAGGGAGGATTTCTCTGCGAGAAGGGTGGATTCAACAGGAGCAGTCACTGACGAATCCGAGACAGAGTGATCTTCATTGTCTTTACGAGATCTGTCGGTGGCAAGGGTATGCTCAACAATTGGAAGAATGGGAGAGGCAAATCGAGAGTTGGTAAAACCGCCGTCAGTTAATGAGAGAGGGGTATACGCGAGGCTTTTGTCCTGGAGAGATAAGTCGCATTTCTTGCCCATTGGCGATCGGCAAGGCTGAGGCTGTGGAATTTCGGCTGAAGAGTTGATAGAAAAATACCGCTGGATACCACCACGAGGATTAGCAGAACGAGATTTAATGGGCTCCCTCTCGGTGGTCTTCTCGACTGCCCAAATGTCGACGTAATCGTCATCCTCGACGCAGGAATCAAGGGGCAGGTCAAGACCATCATAAAAGTCGAAGTCTCTGGGGGAAACTCGCTGGGTGACGCGAGGTTTCTTCCTAGAAGCCACTGGCTCCTTCGATGCGCGCTTAGTGGAAAGCTCAGCCGAAGGTAGACATGTCTCGGACACGGGATGGATAGCGACAGACTCTCTAGTGGCTGTGGTGAGCTTGGAGGTGCGCGAAGGAATATGATCTGAAGGACCTCGGCGAACAGGCGCTTTGCCACTGTACGAGATAACACAAGACGGTGCAGGCTTTCCAAGGGAGTCGCGGACTTCCTTGATCGTGACCGACGTCAGACCGACATCGAAATCCGGCAGTGTGCCTTCCTCAGCCACCTTTGGATCTCTGGTGTCGGCAGAGGTCAAAAGACATCGAAGCGAGGTCACTAAACCAGAGATGGCAGCGTGGTCGCGGATGTAGAGAGGTTGGGCCGCGTTGATGCGAGCAACGACGTCGTCACTGTTGGTGATTTTGCCAATCTGGGAAGAGGAAGTACGGTTAGCTACGTCAAAATAGCGAAGCATGGGCAGTGATACCTTGAGCAGTAGATCAGTCGTGATAGTCTCACGTAGGGCGGCGAGTTCCTGGATTTGCACGGCGGTCGCAGAAGAATCCCCAATTGCCCGGACCCTGGCGGGGTCCTCGATGAACTCGGCAATAGTGCGCCAGGCGTTGGCGGTGTGCCTCATGGCTCGGGACAAACGCCAGCGGCCAAGGCCAGTGAGGGGTGCGAGGGTGAAGACGTTGTGATCAGAATGCTGGCCGAGCTTCGTGAGGGCGTTCTAGTACCAGGCGGCAGTGCTCAGCATTTCGTGAGGAATCTTGCGGATAGAATCAGCATCAGCCCATCTCAAACGGGAACGGCAACTACTCACCGCACCGCATTTCTTGGCAGCGCGTTGACAGAGAACGCAACGGGTTTCCAGCGAGCCGCAAGCGCAGGTCAGCTCCAGATAGTTATACTTCTGCTGGAGGCAGTAGAAACACGGCGGCTGGCCATCTGTCTGCGAGAGGAATGCGCCCCCATCGTGGAATTCCGAATCGGCAAGAGCAGTGCGGATGGCGACCAAGACCGACATGATGGAATAATCGATAGGGGTAGGGAAGATGAGGAGAGAGATCTCAAAGTCAAAGCGAGGGCAAAGGGCCCGACGAGAAGTGCTGTCTGGGCAGCGGCCCGAAGGTTGTGATGGTTGTGATGGTTGTGATGGTGGAGAAACGCGAATTTAGGCTGGCGGAAGGTAACACAGCTACCGGGCTACTTCCTACCTACAAATGAGTCACGTCTGCGCCGGCCGTGTGCCAGCTGGTGGCCAGCTGGAGGAGCCGCCTCACTGAGCCGCTTCACCAATAAGCCCACGGGCAATGGTGTCCCAGCGCCAATTAGTGACCAACCCCAAGCGCAGCCAACCCAAGTCACCATGGGAGTTGATCGAGCCGGAGGCCCCAGGCATCTATAGCGCATCCGTCCCCTAAATCCCCCACTACAGTGGGGAGCGGTGCGCTGGCCCTGGTAATTTCATCAGAACCCCCCTATTCCACATCTGCTAAGGGCCGGCCTTCAACGAACACACTTGACTTTCTCGAAGTGAGGAAATAGTTGTGTTACCTTGTTCAATGATATATGATATGAACCAGGCACTACTTATGTACGTAACGAATGCATGTTCACGTAGTCTATTAAGATTCTCTCAATTAATACAACAACACATTGGATCTCACACAGTAGAGGCATACTCTTAGATGCAGTGTCCTGCAAACACAATTATAGGCAAGTGCCAACTATGAACTCAGTCATAACTGCTACTGGCTTTGGTCATAAGGAAGGAGGATGCTGCCGACGTTTTCAGCGCGCAGCACGCTCCCGTCACGAAAATTGCCCCGTGCCATTTCGAGAGCAGACACCTTGCATTTCTTTCTATTGGCAGCGCCATATCCGCCATCCGTGTAGACATGCCCAATAATGTCCTGGAAGTTGTTGGTGCGCACCGTGTGAAAGTTTACCAACTCTACATCGATGCCTTGGCCTACTGATGTCCAACCAATGAATCCACACTCGTAGAGTCTGACCATCCATTGGGTGCTGTAATTCAGTTAGCTCTGATATTCGATTGTAGTGAGGTTATTCTTACATTACATCCCTGCCACCTCTTTTGTTCCAAAGTATCGGGGAGTTATCCTGTTTAAACTCAAAGCGAGTTAGGTCGGTGTGATGCTCATTTGGGAGGCCGTCGAGGCTTCCTCGGAGGATATTGAGCAGGTTCAAGACTGTGAGGCGGCTAGATCCGGTGTACGCGGGCATTAAAGGAAACTGGAACGCGACTTGCGCCCCACGGATTCTCCCTAAGTCCCCAACCACCGCAATTTCAAGATCAGTGGCCGTGGGAGGCGCCGGGTTGGAGCTGATGTCAAGCACGCATCCACGATACTCAGTGCAATCAGGTGTGACGATAGGCCGGTGAAAATTGACCATCAGGCCCACCTCTGGCTTCTCAAGACCGTATTGAAAAAACATGACATAAAGGTGAAACACCTCAGACGACAGTATAGAGTTGATATACGCATCATCTGTCGCCATGAGGTTCTCAAGACGTAGATATGGTTCGTCCATTTCGACAGACACTCGCTTGTAGATTGACGTTGAAGAGTCGATGATAGCTAAGGATAGCTTTGTGACTGGTAGAAATAGGGAATTGAGTGTTTGGATTATGGAAATCTCTCGGGATGTAGTAGTTGAGAGGGTGGTTAGCTGTTCATTTAATACCCTGGACCCCATCGCCGTGTTCATAATCCGTCCAGCTAGCATTGACAAAATGTCCTAGAAATGGCATTGACTAGCCTTTCGAACTCATACAGGTCGTGGTGAATCTCTGAGCTTCAAGATTAGGGGCTCCACTGTGACTGTGACATGCACATGAATATTTCGGTATTAGTACTGTGTGTTGTTCACTGGCTCCCTTTATCGTGGTTTCTTTGCTAGCCATTCTGCATGGCCTAATCAATGGCAGCGGATCATCTTCCCTCCTTGTCGTGAATCTTTGGATGCTGGCTCGCAAGACGCCAACATATTAGTGGTACATCCTACCACTTGTGAAACGTGAAATACGATTCAGAGATATGGATAAATGATTCGCGGTGTATAGTCAACTGCGATCCTCAAAGAGCAACAGGCGGTCCAATCGGCATTTTTGTGACTGGGAAGAACGGGTGTGACATACCCAGCTTCTGTGACCGCTATTTACCTTTCCAACATATATGCCAAGGCGCAATCGCCAGTCAACACTAAACGTGGTTTAGAAGACACAAGGCAGATTCTGTCTACGGCAGGAAGTCTCGCCTGAATTGTCATCTCAGAGGTACGTGCCAAACCGGCAGCTGTTTGTTCATGGGTCACAGATTTGGACAAGATGAATTTTAAATCTGTCACACACAACAAACTACCCGCCATCAGGACAAATCCATATATCGCGGCTGAACGTGCCGTGTGCATTACAGTGACAAACTCACCTTGTCCAGTTAAAGCCCCACGAGAGATTAAAAACCGGTGGAAGAACATGTCACTTTCAATTGGACTAATAAACAGGCACAAATAATTCCACAAGGTATTCTTGAAAACTCAACCGAGAGGTGCTGTGGTCATTCAAGTTGAGCTGAGGGATCCCCTGGTTATTTGAGTAAACGTACACAAACTGAGGGTTCGCGATAGCTTGCCTGAGGGTTGGGTAGCGCTCGCAGGGATATCCGGCAACTGGGCTGAGTCAAGCGGTTGAAGGAGACCCACGGCCGCAGACCCCATTTCCCTCGTAGCTAGCTAGTCATATTCATCACAAGGCAAACATATTTAACATCTTGCCAGTTATTATCCTGATGGGTGCCCGCCCTACAGAAGAATTTCTGGCAAAGAAGCCAGGAAAAAAGCGACCGTAATTAGTGGCTGTGGTCTGCTAGAAGCTCGCTGGCAGCTGGTTGATAGTCCCCTAATAACCCCGCTGTAACAAAGTTAGCAAAGCGCGCCAGTAGATCAGAGGTAAACAGCGCCGGTGTAATTTCCTTAGCAATGTCGCATGCTTATGTATGCCAATGAATGCCCCTCTTTTCACCAATAGTCACTTTGGCGGAGTGGTTAACGCGCAGCCCTGCTATCGTCGGTGCTCATCATCGGTCTATGATAGGCTGTGACTTCGGTCGCGTAGGTTCGAATCCTGCAGGTGACGAATTTTTTGGTCTTTTTCTCTTTTGCTCCATTCCCGTTCACTTGTTGCGGTGCTTTGGACCCCAATACCTTGAAGCTGGAAGGGGATTGATCGGCAAGGTAGGATTCGAGCACGCGTCGCAAGCACCCCTTCCTCCAGCTCAGCTCCGGTTGACTGGCGCACTCCTCGGTTCAGCTGGAATGACCCAAGGCATCAACCACCTTCTGGTCAACTCGAACCCATTCTAAATCTCCAAAATTGCCATGCGCAGTGCCCTCAGTTCAACTCCCAGAGATCCTCTCACTCGAACCTGGCCGTTAATCGGGCCACGATAAAGACTGCAGTTCGACTAAATCTGCGCTAGCCAGGGAAACATCCGACCCGCACAAATGTGTTTTTGGCCTCTAGGAGGATCGCTCTAGCTCGTCGCTGGAAGGAGGCTATTTATTGCTAGCCAAGTCTGGGGTAGGTAGGGCATCTTGGCGTGTCTGACGCACGATCGACCACGGAGTAACTAAATCGGAGGTCTTGATTTCTTGAACACTGCCATGAGAGAGGATACAGTCCTGTAGTGATATCATTCAGGGTGCTTCAGTCAATCCTAGCCCTCTATTGTCGCATCTCCCACATTCTTCATTCAGCATTCATTGCACAAGCACATCCAAGATTGCAGCTGCTCTGCCCCCTCCAGCTCCCATGCGTGGGCCAGGGGTCGTCCGGTACGCGGATCGCGTAGCTTCAGCGCGCGCGCCGGGGTGCCATAGCGCTCTGCACGGAACGCTTGTCCCGCCGACTCTTAACTTTAAAAGCACGCCGAGCATCTCGCCTAATCTTATTGAGCATTTTATATGAACATCTGGCAAGGCTGGGCCGGACCTCCGACCGGGTATGGAACGGAAGCCGGCTCGGATGGAGGGCGTGAAACAGTAACCGCCTGTAACGCGCTTCAGACAGAGTAGACTGTCACAGGGGGGTTGTGAATGGATGAAGCCCAGGACCCGCACAATACGAGAGATATGGGCCACTGTAGTATATCTGACCACCAACAGAATACAGTGGAAATTGAACAAGGCGAGATGGTGATGGTCATTGGGTCGCCGTCCCGGCTGTCCCTTGCATCTCCTTTTCGCCATCCAGGATCACCGTGACCAGGCTGCAGGCACGAGCAGGGCTGAACTGCGGCTGCCCCCCTCCAGGCGCCAAAAGAAGCCTTTGCAGATCAAGGGCCAGGGGGGCCCGGAAAAGGGGCGAAACGGGCGTTTGCCCTTCCTGGGTAAGCCCAGTAAAATTCCCCGATCTTCCCGATCCCCCTTCGGATCCCACGCGCGCCGTGTGTTGCTGTCGTTGCGTGCTGTTGCGCCATCGACGCAACGGGAAGGATATGCTGGTTATTTTTGGTATACAGCAAACATGTGTTGTCTCGACGGATGTCTCGACGGGTGCACGTCTGCCGATCGGTCCACATCTAACCATGCTTCAAGACAGCTAAGGCTCAGAGCCTCCAGTTGATGCTCCGCCCCAGCGTCATAAAACCGGGCTGAACATGGGGTGGGCGCCCTTTCGCAACCGCCCCTGCCGTGGGACTTCTGTAACTGGACCGGCAGCCGAGCGAGCAAGGTGTGCATCTCCATGTACGTATGCTTGTTTCCATTCATGGCAGAAATACGCTCTTGTGGAAGCAGGCGTCAGGGGTCACTAGCATCCACGTCGGCTGGGTTCCCGGCTGAAGCCCCCATGAAGAGCACTGTGCCGATCGAGACGACCAACAGAGAGATTGATCTGGCTGCAATATTATACGCGCGTAGCCCCGACGTGTTTATTCTTTCTCCTCCCCCCTCGTCCAACTGTCCTTTCGGCCCCCGTTTGCCTTCACCAACGACGCCAATTTCCTTGCCTCAATGACCTGAGAATATACCCAATGTGATAGAAAGAGCACCGATCTCTTCTATCTGGGCCTCCATCGCCCTCGTCGCTCCTTCACCCCTCGAGCCCCACGATCCTTTGCCGAGCACCATTCGTCTTCGGTTTCCAACTACGTCACCACCGTTCCTGCTGGACAATGAACGACCCTACGCACAGCTCCCTCGCCTCCGAGGAGAGCGTCGGTCTCCTCATCGACCCATCCCAATCCGATTCCATTCTCGACAAGTCCATCTACCCAACCCAGCGTTTCTCCGTTGCGACATGGGCCAGCAAGCTCCTGTCCCCGGTGTTTTACATCCGGTCCACCCACTGGCGCGTCCTCATCGTCCGCCTCGCCTGGTTCTTCGTCCCTAGCTTTCTCCAGGGCCGCAGTATGCGTGAGCAGATCCGCCCGGCGAAACTAGGCCCCACCGCCTATCTCGACGGCATGAGGGGCATGGCTGCGCTCTTTGTCTTCCATTGTCACTACTCATACTCAACCTTTGCCATAGCCAATGGCTGGGGCTTCAACGGCGGGCACTATGAGATCGTACGACTGCCTTTTATAAAGCTATTTTACGCGGGACCGGCTGCTGTCTGCGTCTTCTTCGTCATCTCTGGCTATGCTCTCTCCTACAGACCTATAAAAAACATCCGCAGCGGCAATGTCAAGGACTTTTCTACTGGCTTGAGTTCTATGGTCTTCCGCCGTGCTATTCGTCTCTTCCTTCCGACTACTATTTCTACCTTTATGGTTGTCTGCCTCATCCGCATGGGTGTATTCGAGTGGACTCGCGCGTTCGCTATGAATCCAACCTATCTGAGAAAGGTTAGGGAAGTTCATCCCAAGATGCTTTCTACTGCACATGAGCAGTGGGTGCAATGGGCCGGTGCTATCTTCGGGGGCTTTAAGGTGTTCAGCTGGGAGCACTATGGCGGATTCCGCAGTAAGTCACTTTGGCTATCCCTGACTTGCTCATACTAATAGAAACTCTAGTTTATGACGCTCATTTGTGGACTATCCCTGTTGAGTTCCGCTGTTCGCTCTATCTATTTCTCGTCATCTTGGGGACTGCCCGCCTCCGAACTCAATACCGATTCCTGACCCTTGCGGTCGTTACATACGTCACCTATTACAACTCCAGATGGGAATTTCTTTTGTTCCTCAGCGGGATGGCTCTCGTTGAGTGGGATCATATTCGCGGTGCCCATATCCCACCTCCTGCCTTGCCGTCGGAAGAAAGAGAAAAGGAATCCAAGCCAGCTCATTCAACAACTAAGTTGGTATTCTGGAACCTAGTCGCCATCATTGGGTTATACTTTCTGAGTCAACCTGACTCGGGCGGCTCAAAGACTCCCGGTTGGGTGTATCTGACCTCGCTAATCCCTGAGTGGTGGGCACACGAGGGGTTTCGATATTGGCAAGGCTTCGGTGCAGCTGTCTTTGTCCTTGGCGTGGGTCACTCAGCATGGTGGCAGCGAGTCTTCAATTCCAGCATTGCTCAGTACTTCGGTAAAATCTCGTACGCTTTGTATCTGATGCATGGGCCAGTATTGAAAGTCATTGGCATGCATTGGATGAAGTGGGCTTGGGGTGTGACTGGCATTGAGGGAGAGTGGTATACTGCCGGTTTCTTTTTGGGTGCCTGCTTCTGCATACCAGCCGTCATCTGGTGTGCTGATATTTTCTGGCGGGCTGTCGATATTCCTTCGGTGAAATTCGCTAGGTGGTTTGAGAACAAGCTCATCAAGACTGACTAGAGAATACCTTGAAGATACTTTCTTTTTTGTTGTGTGGGATATTATGAATGTAATTATCTGGGAAATTTGTATGAGACCTGGATTTTGTGGCACATATTAGAGGCTAGAAATGTGTATTAAGGGACACCTGGGTCAATTTTGGCAAGGAACAGTGTCACCAACTTTTGCAAAGGCTTCTTCTTTTCGCCAAGTAGGATATAGTTAGTTGAGATAAATCATTCTTACTATGCTACCGTCCGCATTGCATTCTCGCATGTACCTAATTCACAACGGTCCTCTGTTGTCCATCATCCAGCCCATTAGCTACCCTACATCAAGACAAAAGCATGCTCGTGGCCACCCACCCTCCAGATCCTCGTAGACTCAACAGTCCAGTCCCGATGTGTTTACTAACGTGCAGCTAAATCCAAGTTCTTCTAGTACTAAACAAAACATCATCCAACTCTTGGCTGTTCTGCACCGTTGTACGAGCGTCAGCAACCCATGAACTCCGTAGTGCTTTGGCTTGAGGCATTGGCTCACGACGCGCAGCTGTGCTGCGGGCTTCGCCCACCTCTGCCGAGGCAAGACGGGAGAACACGCCACTGGGGAAGATACCCGAGGCCGAGGAGGCTTTCGATAATTCATACTACCTTGCAAGGCTTTGCCGTTTTTCCGGGGTATCATCTATTCTCCCTTGGCAATGCTTCGGGTGCATCGGAGACTGCGAGGAGCCAATCAGGCAACACAATTCCTTGGCGACTCAGGTCTAGACGGGCAATGACCGTTGTTGGCTAACTTTCTTTAGTTCAACTCCTGTGTGTGTGGTCTCGCATACTTCAGCTGCAGTCAGTTCTCACGCCTTTCCATTTGCGGCTCTCATCGCCCTGGTGGACTCTGTGCTCGTGGCAGCGTGAATTAAGAGCGAGCCGTTTTGGGATGTTATTGTCCTATTGATCTCTTCCAGCCACCTTTGGAATTTCTACATGACCAGCGCACACGTTTGCTAGTGGGCGGCAAGGTTTCGCCATTTTCCCGACAAGGCTGAAACGGCCGAACAGCTCCCACAAGCTCGGAGGTGCCAAGCTCTTCTAGACCCTCGGATTTGCCCACACGCTATTCCCGCCAGGAATGCTGACGCCTTGTCTTGTTCGTGACTAGCGGCACGATGAATTGCCTAGTTGAATGAGATCTTGATCGCCAGGCCGAATCGATCCAGCCTACCCTACACTTGAATGTGAAAGGCCAGAAACCTTGGCGCCTCTTCTGCCACATCAAGCGAAGCCCATCCTTTTCTTTTTCGGCCGAGGCTCTCAACACATTCTAACGGTGGGCCCGCGTCATTTCTAGGAGAGGACTAGCGGTTGACCGATCGTGTT